TAGTTAGTACACAGAGTTTGGTAACTACAACAGATCTTAGGGGATAGTTCCCCACTGAAAGCTCTAGCTGAGATTGTGCTTCAGGGTGGTCCAGCCCTTTGCAGAGCTCAGAGAAGTGCAAGGGAAGCATTCCTGTATGCCAGCCTTTAGACTGGTACAGCATGTTCCTCTCCCTGTGTGTCATCAGCTCCACTGCCCAGTGCAGAAGGTGTGTGGATACAGCTCTGCCTCTCTCCTCTTATCTCTTTGGAATGGCAAATGTGATGCATTTACAGAGAGATCAGCTTCTTAGAGCTGAGGGGGTTTTCCTCTTCCAGTGTTTTAAAACTGGATTTATTGCCTGTGAACAGTGCTGCTCTGTCGGCTTTGGTGAGTGACTTGCCCTCAAGACAGGCAGAGGTAGTACAAGCTGAGGCACTGCTTTCCCTCCATGTCCATAGGTGAGAGGGTAGTTCATTCCAGTGGCTTTGGTTCTCTTTCTGAGAATGCCATCAAAATGCCTCCCATTAGAGACTCAGCAAAAGCAGGGACCTTATGCTCATTTCAGACAGGTTCACAGAGCTGTCATCTGGACCAGAATGGTACAGATAACATGCAAAGTGAGTCTGATATGTGGCTGTTCATTGTGGAGGAAAACAGCATTATTTACAGGACAGAAGGGAAGTGAGGCATCCCTTGTTTTCATTTTCTATGCAGTGGTTATTGGGCCTCCAACAGAACACTGAAGAGTAATTCTGTCTCTATATTGACAATAGTGTTTAAAAAAACCCAAATCACTAAAGCCATGCATCTTCATAACAACTTTTGATGGGGAGGTCTGATTCTCTCTACATTTTCATTAGGCTCTTTGTCAGTATAACTTTATGGGCTCCTGTACACATGGAGGGAGCTGGCTCTGACACACTTAAAATTCAGTGCATCAGAGCAGGCTTAATTAATGAAGTCTGCTGGAGAGCGGAAATTACTGCACTCCAGCAGACTCTAGTGTCACGTGTATCGGCATCCCTGCACTGAAAAATGGCGGCGGAGTGCTTTGAACTAAAGCTTGTTTGTTGTGCTTTAGATATGCCCCACACCTCCCAGAGCATGTATAAAAATGCCCTATGAGTCTACTGAAGATATTCCTGATTTACTACTGAGTAGCTGAAACCAGAATTTGGCCTCAACTTTCTAAGTTAGACAAAGCTCAATTTTGCCTGCCTTTGTTCTTAACCTACATTTACATGTATGAATACAATTGTAAGTTTCCCAACAACCTTTTACTTATTTACATAATGCCAAGTGTTCAAAAGCACTTAGTATTGATTGGTAGGTGGGAGCTTTACCTTGACATTCAGGGAGAGCAGGGCTAGGCCAGAGCTTTTGAAAATTCCAGAGCCTATATATATATAT